TTAGAGGTGAAGTACAATGATAGTTTATCTCAGAAATGGCCCAACAGGAATAGTATTTCCAGCAAGCTCATCCATTCTTTCTATAACATCTGCTACACAGAAGTTAGATCTGCTTTCTTGATTCTTCAGGCTCTTACTTTTTCTTGTAATTTATACCCGATTGTCTCTCTGTGATTACTAATGGTAATTTTATCTTCCTTTCAGATAACATTTATTTATTCTCTTTATGATTTTGATTATTGTAATCTTTTTTCTTTAAAATTATATTCTTTTTGTTTCATACAATTTTAAATAATGTTTTATTTCTATGAAAATTTCATCCATGCGTATGACGTATCTTGACCATATCCATTTGCTCCAACTTTCCTTCCCCCTTAACACATCTCCCTTATTTTTTTTTTTTTTTTTTTTTTTTTTTAAATAACTCACTGAGTAAAGTTAGTGCTGTTCATATGTGTACAGGTTTGGGGTCATCCACTAGGGGCATGGGCAACCAACTAGTGGTCCCACCCTAAAGAAAAGTGACTCCTCCCACCCCCAGCAGCCATCGACTGTGTTGTTATATATTGCTATCTTTTCTTTCTATTAACAATTTCAGACAGTCCTAATTACATGATGTATCTGAGTTTCAAGACCTGCCAGTCATCGAAGGTATGGCTCTTTAATTTGTTCTTTGGTTTCTGTGGCTTTGCACGTGGGGCCCTTTCCTCCTGTGAGTCCTCATGGTGGACTCATGTTCTTTGACTGTTTCATGTCCTTTATTCTTGAAAGTCACTTTGGAGGCTAAAGAGTTCTCTTCTTCTCATTTCTTTTTCCATGAGCAGTTTAAATATATTATTAACATTTTTTAAAAGTACTAGATGTGAAAAGATTTCTCAATATTTAGGCTCATATTTTGTATCTTAAAAAAAAAAGTAGTGTATTTAACGTTACTGTTAAGGGTTTGGAGAGAGGGCTCAGTAGTTAAGAGCACTTGCTGCTCTTGCAGGGGACCCAAGTTCAGTCCCCAGCACCCACATCAAGTGACTCACAACTGCCTGTAACTCTCAACTTCAGTGTATTCAATACCCTCTTCTGGTGTCCCTGGGCACCCACATACCCATGTGTATAAACACATACAGATACACATATACACATACATAAAAATTAGAATTAGAGCATTGCTGTCAAAAAGTCTGCTGATGAGCTGTTTTTCTTTTACTGAAAAGATGCACATTCTCTTTGCTAACGTTTCCAGATAGCTTTCCTTTTTCTTTAGGTTCAACAGTAGCTAAGTGCTGACTGATTTTATGAGGTCTAGGATGTATTCTTCTTCTTTCAATACATGTTTTCTAATGCTTTTTGCATGCACGAGAGAGAGAGAGAGAGAGAGAGAGAGAGAGAGAAAGGCTTTTGCTGCTCTTGTTTTGAGATCAAGTCTCCCTGTAGCCCTAGCTGTGGAACTTGCTATGTAGACCAGGCTGGCCTTGATCTCAGAGATTCATTTGCTTCTGCCTCCAAAGTGCTGGGATTAAAGGCATACACTATCACTCCTGGCTTTTGGTTTTTCTTTTTGAAATGATATCTCATGTGGCCCAGGGTGGCCTTGAATTCACTAGTACCCAAGATTGGCCTTGGCTTCCTGATTCTCCTGCCTTTATCTCCTAAGTGCTGGAATTACAGGCATGTGCTACCTACCAGGCTCAACTTTAACCATTTTTTTTTTTTTTTTTTTTTTTTGGTCTTTTTGAGACAGGGTCTCCCTGTAGCCCTAGATGTCCTGGAACTCACTATGTAGGCCAGGCTGGCCTTGAACTCACAGAGATCTGCCTGCCTCTGCCTCCCAAGTGCTGGGATTAAAGGTGTGCGCCATGCCCGGCAACTTTAACCATGTTTTATTTCAGTACTTTTCCCAATTTAGACTCTATTTTTCTTCCTTATCAACTCCAATTATTCATATATTATATTTTTGCATATCTAATATTTATCACTTTTTCTTGAGATATTTTTATTGCTTCCTTTTTCATTTAAAATGTCTTCCTCAGTCTGTTCTGGCTACTTTTGTATCCCTTCTGGTTACTTTTGATCCCTTCACTGTATTTCTGATTTTTGCAATACATGTTGCTTTCTCACGCCATTTGCTGTTTTCTTGCCATCTTTCCCGCCTTGTGTCATTTCCTAAGCATTCTTTTGAAATAGGAAGTTATGGTTTTTCTGCTTTAAACACTATTTTTTTCTTTCTCATGCATTAAGATTTGACTTTGATGATTTTCTCAATTTATATAAAAGTAGAGACTTGGTGAAAATAGATTTCTAGAATTACAGAGCTGCCTCTTTTATTTTCACACTCCATTAAAATTAGCAGTTTAAATTCTGAAATTTGAACTTACATTTGCCATTGTTTTGCAGTGCTGGAGATCAAACCCATGGCTTGGTCATGTTAGAAAAGTGCTCTGCCATTGATCCAGACCCTCCATCCCCTTTATTTTTCTTTTTTAATTTTTAAAATTTTATTTTTTATTAGTCTATTGGTATGTGCACATGTGTGTATGATAGTGATAGATGCACACAGACGCACGCATACACACACACACACATACACACACACACACACACGTTGATTTGTGTGTGGAGGTCAGAGGACAGTTTTGTAGAGTCAGTTCTCCCCTTCTATGATTATTTGGGTTCTGAGGATTGAACTCAGGTTGTTAGGGTTGACAGCAAGCACTTTCACCCTCTGAGTTATCTCACAGGCCCCTATTTTTCATTTCTGAGATAGAGTCTCACAAAGCTGGCTAGGCTGGCTTTGAACCTGCTCTTGAACTTGTGAATCTCCTTCCTCAGTGTGATGGTTAATATTTTCAACATGGCCAAGAGCCTATGGAGATAAAGGGTTGAATGTTATGACTTAAATGTGATATGTTTGTATGACAAGTTGACAAGGGATGGATTTGTGATGTTTAGTACTGTCAACTTGACAGGATCTAGAATCACAAGGGAATCCATGAGGTATTCTCTATATTAGATTAATTGAGATGGGAAAATTACAGTAACCGTGGGCAGCATCATTCCATGGGCCGGGATCCTGGATTGAATAAAAAAGAGCATGGTAGCTGAGCACCAGTATTTATTGTTCTCTGCTTACTGAGAAAGGATGCAATATGACCAGCTGCCTCATGTTCCTGTTGCTGTGACTTCCCTGCCATGAGGGGCTGTGTCCTCAAGCTATGAGCCAAAATAAACCCTCCCCTCCTTAAGCTGCTTTCGCCATGTATTTATTGCTGCAACAAGGCAAATAACTAATACAGTCAGCCTCCCAAGTAGCTAAGATTATGGGCCTGTGCCACCAGGTATAGCTTAACATTTTTATCTGAATCTTTCTCAGTGTCTGTTCCCCTGATCTGATCAGTCGTGATTCTGTTCCTGAATGTGGATACCTTCTCTCAGAAAGCAGCCCTGATTGTTGCATTGGAATGGCCCAAACCACAGTCTGTGTCAGCACTGTTCTCAAACTGGCTGCCAGCAGTTGCTGCTTGCTTGGAGTGCTCTTATTCTCAAAGCATCAGACACTCCCTTATTCTTTTGCTGTTTTTCCCACACTTGCTGACACAGTGCAGGCCTGCTGGTGTTTGACAATTTGTCTTCATTCCCATCTCGAGGTCAAGAGTGTCTTGTCTCCTAATTTTGTTACAAATACTGCTCATGGGATTTTGGTTATGCAATCTACTTACTGTGTGAAGACGTGGAAAATCTCAAATCCTTCCATCCATTGCAGCTTCTATTTTTCCGGAATTCTCTGATGCCTTTTAGAAGTCAGGCTCTCTTATCATGGCTCTTCATCTTTGTAGCTGGGTATCAGTTTGCAGAAGGGAAATGTGAAACAGCAATGTACTATGTGTATACACTCTGGTGTTTATTTGGGGTAGCAGGCCGCTGCTGCTGACGTGTTACTATATACATCTATGGGTGTAGCCTAGGAGTTCAAGTGTTGTGACCAGAAATATTCTTCACCTGGGAAGTTTTTCATTTGGTTTGTGGTATGGGCACTGTTTATAGAGTGTCTTTATTTTCAAGTGTATTTTTGTCTGAGGGACTACATGATTGCTAATTACCCAAGGACAGGTTAGTCTGCAATGTTTTTTCCTCTCCAGAAGCCACAGCTATTCTCATCTGGAAAAAAGTGGGTTTCTAGTTGCCTTTGGAGTATTTGTTTTCAATTCACTTTGGTTCACTTTTTAGTAGAAGCCAGGTAGGCCCACTATTGTTTCTAGATTAGAGTGCTTGAATAATTTTATTTTGTTGCCTACAAACCATTTTGGTATTGGAGGATATGTCAGTTATACTGTCCGATAAAGCCTAAGACTTGGGACAATGGTGGAATTACTTTCAAATGAAGACAGGTTTCTATTGATGTTAATGAATGGAAAATTGGGTTATCCTGTCCTCAACATTTATGCCATCACTTGTCATTAGCTTTTATGGCAACAAGAAAACAGTGATATGAAATATTGCTTTTTACTTGATTCCATTTTGATGTGTATATTATTATATGTTTTTTAGATGCAACAGTAAGACATTCAACTTCTGAAATATACCCATAGTAGAACACAAGTTAATATTTAAGCATTTTCCCTGTGCAAGACATAGACTAATTTGTGATGTGAAAGATTAGAAATTAACTCACAAAGTCCTGAGGTACCAATGTAAAATGGACCAAGTATAATATCCCAGGGGTTAGTGGAGACTGAAGTCTTTTGTAGAGAATGGAATTTAAAGTGTTCATAAAGTTCTGTGAAGATAAAGTGCCTGTGCATCTAGTGTGATGTGCATATCTGTAAGTCCAGGACGCTTGAAAGTAAAGTATACTTATGTAAAACTCTATATTGATTGACCCGCTTATTTGTATATATAAAAACTACTTGCAAACTTGTTAGTGAATTTCCTTAGGATAAATATTAATTTTCTACTTATACACAAGAAAATCCAGAAATATTTATAAGAATAAACAGCCAAACCCTTTATACAAAAAATATATACTTTATTTTCAACTGAAAAGGTGCAAGCATGTAACTTTTGGTCACACTCTCAACAAATAAACTGCCCAAAAAACAGTCATAGTCAAAGTAGAAACAAACACTTCCAGGTGGAATTCTCACAAGCTCTACTGAGCCAGTCATGTTTTAATAAAGGCCATTTGTTCATTCACAGTGAGGTAACCACATTTCCTACTAGAAATCAGACTCCATGACACTGTTGCCTCACTGCTGGCATACCATCTATTCTGATGGACCGTCACTCTGATGGCAATTCCCATTTTAGTATCCACTTCATTTTGAATTGACAAGCCTTGTCTTTCCTATGGTGTTCAGAATTTGAGGCTATCAGTTTGAAATACCAAAGCATTTAAAACAAAAACAAAAAAGGCACAAATAACTTTAAATTAACTTAGGTAACTGTACAAATATATATATCTACAGTATTTACAGTATCAATAAAAAATCTGGCTTGTTACAGGCAAATTTAGACTGCCACAAGCTGTCCAGTCTAATAGACAGGATTCTGCTTCCTGACTACTGTCATTCGAATCAGAATGTCAGAGCTGAATATGCTGTTCTGATTTAAAGAACAACTCGATTCAGCCTCATCTGGTGGAGAACACACATGCTAGCTATGGCCAGAGCTGCAGGTAGGATTTCAAGCATCGTATAACTTTCTTCCTTCATTATGCTCCAAATAGCAGGCACATTACTATGTTAAGGTGACATCTGATAGTACTGCCGTTTCTACTGGTGTCTCGGCTATTCCGGAAGCCAAACCTTAGAATACATTCTGGTGCTGTGCGCTAATGTAGTTCGACTGTCAAGTCCATACTGTCTTCAAACCAGTGTCTGGGATTGACAGACTATTAGTATGACATGGCACAATGTTTTCAATTTGGTGGGAATCTTTCTCTCCTAGCAGTTAGAAACACAGATTTAAATTAACTTGTGCTACTGAAATCATTTTTTACAGAAAAATGAGATGCAAATCAGTTCAAGTTATGGTCTAATGAGTCCAGGACCCTCACTCCTTGGCTTTATGCCATGTCACCATACATCTTCTTATAGTACAGTGACTCAAAGATGTCGTTGTCCCCGGGACAGTTGTAATGGCAGGCACAGGTCTTGATGAACATCATGTTCCTCTTCATGATCTCGCCATCAGGACACTTGAACTCCACTGGCAGGGTGGTGGTTCTGTGGGGGGTGCAGCACCGACCATCTGTGCATACTCCGCAGAACTTAGCCCGGTAGGACTTCACACTGGTGCAGCCAGAGAGCTCAAATTTGACAGGTTTGGAGATTTTAGGGGTTCGGATGCACTTTTTGCCCTTCTAAGGAAGACAGGGGAGAAGAGAAACATCCGTTACTACAAGGGGAGTGGCCATCTTCTGTCCTCTGTATTCTAGCCTGATGTCATCTGACTTGTGTTTATATTCTGAGGGGAGAAACTTTGAGTTGCATTTGCCAGTTTTCCAAACATAGCCATGGCCTCTTTTGGAATGTCTTGAATTAACTAATGCTGGGGAGAATTTTGTAGTGGAAAACTGGTGGTTGCTATTACACAATCTCTCATTCCAGCAAAACAGCTCCATGGTTAGATATTTTGGGAGATAACAGGCCTGTAATAACAAGGGAGGCCAGACATCTAACTTTGGTCTCATTCACTACCATTCTCAGAAAATGAGCGAAAAGAAGGAGAGCAAGTACCTTAATGTTCTCTTCCAGGTCAGCCTCACAAGGCCTGACCATGCAGAGCCGACTCTGCTTCTCCAGTCTGCAGAAGGCATTATCGTTGGTAACCCGGGTAGAGATGCCCATCCCACAGGTCTTGGAACAAGCGCTCCACTCTGTGGTCTGGACCAGGCAGTTGGCTCGCATCATGGTTGGGTCTGGGCCAAATGTGTCTTCCAGTCTGTAGGCTGTGAGAGTAGAGCATACAAACACAAGGTAAAACGTCTGGATAAGACCATTTCCCCCCTTTGCTGGGCATAGCCTCAGCCCAGGACGGGGGGGTGGGGGTGGGGGGGCAATGAAAATAATAGTGGAAGACAACTCACCAGCCAAGGCAGGGCCAACCATGGTGCGGTCCTTGGGCTCGTCACACACCCATTCCTCACAGCATTTTCCCGGCAGCTTGACCCTTCTCGGGAAGGGACAGTCGGGACTGGGCAGGCGGACGTCATTGCTGCACAGGGGCACACAGCCCACTGCTCCGTCCAGGCAAGTGCACTGGTATTTGCAGCTGCTCTGGAAGGACTCTCCGCTGCGGTACACGGCCCCACCGAATACACAGGGAGCACCATCTTTGGCTGCAGGAGAGCAAGGGAGAGGAAGCGAGATGTAGACGTCAGACCAGAGTCCCAGTGATCAGAGCAGCTCTGACTGCTTGTCAGGGTGGAGAGCTGGGGTCAGGGCTGCAGGAGGTCAACTGGAAGCAGCTGTGGAACCCGACTCTGTGGGCGCAGCTTCTTTTTCCAGCGGGTATCCTGCTGGGCGCGAGGGAGATGGGGGCAGGACAATCCAGATGCTAAGGGCTTGGGCCAAGGGGCTAGGTCTAGATCGGGGGCTGCAGGTCTTACCGGTGCATACTCCGATCTTGCGGTTGGCCGGGGAGCCGAAGTCACAGAAGAGGCCCTTGTGCGGGTCGCAGGGGTCGCGCTCGGTGCACAGCTCGCCCAGCTGCTTGGCGCAGACGCGGCAGCAGCCGCAGCCGTCCAGCACCAGGCTCACGCCGGCCGGGCAGCGCGGCGCGGGCTCCGGGGCGCACTGGCACTGCGCGCTGCAGTCCTGGCCGGCGGCCGTCTGTGGATAGCAAGGGGCGGGCGGTCAGCGGCGATCGCTCGCTCGCTCTGCCCTCCCTCCGTCCCTCCGTCTCTCCCCAGCCGCCACCGGCCTCGGCGGGCGCTCCAGGAGCTTACCCTGCTGCAGAGGGCGAGGAGGAGCGCGAAGGCAAGGCGGACCGGGCCCACCGAGGAGATCATGGTCGGGGCGCGGCGGGAGGACGGACGCCGGGCGGCGGGGCTCAGAGGCAGCGGGGGCCGGAGCCGGGACGCGGGCTCTGGGCGGAGGTGGGTGTCTGGACGCGCCGGGCAGTGGCGGCTGGGGCTGTCGGCCGGGGCGGCTGCCGTCGGGTGCAGGCGATGATGTCCCGGGTTGGAGCTGGAGTGGTGCAGGCTTGCCTCTTCTTGGAGGGAAGAGTTGTTGTGTGAGACTAGGCGGGCGGACGCTGCTTTTTATATGCTCCGAGAGGCCGGCTCGCCAATGAACTGAATGGAGTCCTACACAAACAGGGACATTCCTCGCATTCCTCCCCACCTTCCTGCCTCATCAACTCACACCGGATTGATCCTGACCCCTTGACACTCTGCATTCCTCCGTCTGAAAAAGCTGGCACACTTCAGCTCACCAGAAAAAAAAAGGGGTGGGGGGGGCAGTATTTCCAGCATAGCACCAAATAGAATTTTTTTCCCTTTTATCCTCTTCCTACCCCTCCGGATACAGATCATTTAAAAACATACAGGCAATTATTGTTTTCATACATTTTCTTCTTAAAATAGTTTCGACCCGTTTTAGCCACTGACATACATACTTTTTAGGACTTAGGTAGCTGAAGAGGAAAACAGCAGGGGTCCCTAAAAAAATCTCTAAGTGTTCCCTTTTTATTCTTTTTGAAATGATTATTTTTGTTTTCCTTTAAGGGACTTAGTCTCTTGAAATTTTAAACAGCAGAAGGGTGCTTGTAGCCATTTGAAATCGCCCAGATGCCCACGTGGAAAATCCCGAGTTCTGTATCTGATATACAAACATTTGATCTTCTGTCACTTGAGATAACGGTTTTGGTGCAGACAGTCAGATAAGAAAGAGAACAAAGCCAGAGGTCTGTGTAAGGACACAGGTTCCTGGGGGAGATTTTCACCACTCTTCATCCCTGGAGAGTTCTATTGTTGGAGGTCTAGGGTGGGAAGGGGATGACTGGGCATCCTGTCTCCAGAAAAAAAAAAATGGGCCTGTTATTTCGCAGCAAATGACTACTTGCTGGGTAAGTAGGTGGCAGTATGGGAACACAGGGATGGGAAGAGAAGGAACCAGAAAGGAGAAGCCGGTTAGGAGTTTGATTGGGACATTTTTAACACAGCTGTGCTGAGGCTTTTGAGATATGAGTGATTTAAACTTATACTAAAACCTGTAATCTTCAAATGTGGATGAGCGTTAGTTTGCCTTGAAGTAGAACATTTTATTATATAACAGGAAACACTGTACCCTGTTGTGCCTGGTTATAATCTATTTTTTTTTTTTGCTTTGTTTTGTTTTTGTTTTTTTCTCTTGAGACAGGGTCTCTCTGTAGCTCCAGCTGGCCCAGAACTCACTATGTAGATCAGGCTGGCCTTGAACTCACAGAGATCCACCTGCGTCTGCCTCCCAAGTGCTGGGATTAAAGGCGTGCACCACCATGCCTGGCATAATCTGGTTATAAGATAAGTGCATAATATATTTTTAGTGGCTCCTCACATGTCTATGGATAGTGATCAGAGCCTCTTACTACTTAAGGAACATGCAGACCAGTGAAGGGAGGTCAAGTCAAAGAAAGAATAGGTTTCGTTCTTGTGTCTATGTTGATGCCAAATATGAGGAATAAACCTAAGCTTGTTTCCATTTCTTTTTCCGAAAATATTTTATTTATTATTTTTATTTTGTGTGAGTGTATTGCCTGCATGTATGTAAGTGCACCCATGTCATGCAATGCCTGAGGAGGTCAGAAAAGGGTGTCAGATCCCCTGGAACTGGAGTTACGCACAGTTGTTAGCTGCCATGTGGGTGCTGGGAACTGAGCATGGGTCTTCTGCAATAGCAGCCAGTGCTCTTAACTGCTGAGCCATCTCTCCAGCCCTGTTTCCATTTCTCAATACTTCTACTTAGCTTTGCTCAAGAGACCAGGTGATGAAATGTGCATTCATTTGGAACCCACGTTACTTAGTTATTTACTGGATTTCGTGTATGTGTGTGTGTGTGTGTGTGTGTGTGTATGAATAGCTGTAATTCCCATTTTTTTAATAAAGGGAGTGATTCTAGGGACTTGCGAGTTTTGTTTTCCCTAATTTTACATCATTTGCCACTGATGATACCAAAGACTTGCCAGCTTCCTTGCCCTTGCCAATGCTTCTGATTATAAGTTTAATTAAGTATATTTGAAAAGACAACTTTTAGAAACAACATTATAGGTTTATAATTTGGAAACAGCTTATTTAAAATGACCAGTTTTTAAATGTTTCAATTTATCCATTAACATATAGCCAAAGGAAAAAAGAATAAACAGTTCAACTCTAGTAACTGACCACATCATCTGCACACAATTACCTTGTTAGACAGGATGCATGTTTTAAAGTGCAGTTGTATGTCAACCAGTGAACAGTGTGAGAGGCTTGCAAAGGGCTCCCGAAGCTCAGGCAGAATTTTCATCATTGTTATTTAATGTTCCTTTCAAACATTCCTCAAAGAGAAGAGGCCTGAGAGTTCCTATTCAAGGAAAGAACATTCCAGGTTATGTGAACAGCCACATATGTATTAAAGGCATCTTGGCCCCTAATTTTTGCTTTCCTCCTTGATGATTTTTAAAGATCCAAAAATGTGGGAAGCCACAGTGAATCTTCCAAGACCTAAACTCCCAATTATGTCTACCACTAATGGTCGGAAAGGTGGGGTGGATGAGGAAGGGGAGGAATGTGAAGGGTGAGCCTCACCTGAGGTGGGATGTGGGCTCTGAGGTGAGCTTCCTAGCTTGCAAATGTGAAGGAGATGTGATGCAAGAGAAGTTGAGGGAGTCTCTAAAACCCCAGGGCTGCCTGAGAACCACCACCAAAGACTTCCTGCACCCAAGGGACAAGCTCAGTGGAGGGGAGAAGTTGCTGGACTTGGTTATAATTGGAGACCTTGGGTTGTGTTCTTGGAACTGCCATTTACAAATCTCAAGGAAGTCACAAGAAGAAGCCATTCTTCAAGTTCTCATTTATAAAATGAAGATCAGAGGACATTTTAATTTCATAGTTCTAAAGGTTGTTAGACATGGTAAAATCTCCACTGATACTTTATGTTTGAATCTTAATTTTAATTGTTTCTTTCTCCCTTCATATGGAGCATATTGCTATTCTTCACTGCTGTTAAAATGTCGACAATATAAAAAGAATTCAGTTTTACTATAAAACTCTCACCTTGAAATCTCAATAAATCCACATAGGTTCTAAATGGTTGGTTTTAGTATTGACTAAGAGGAAATATCATATTAAAATGTACAGTGACTATAAAAATGTCAGAATAGAAAAAAATACATACTACTCACTAGATGCTTAGACTGAAACTTTGTGACTGAAACACTCAAAAGGGTTAAAATAAGATTGTTGCTGTGACAGCCACACAGAGAAAGAGGGAAGGAAGGAGGGAAGAAAGGATGGGAGAGAGTTGGGGGAGGGGGAGAGGAGACACTGAAGACCTTCACAGCTGGAAAGTATGTTTTTATTTTGATACAGATCATTAAGTGCCAGGAAATCCAGAGGGAAAGGCTGACACTCTGCCTCAGTTCAGCCCATGGCATCTGAATTCTTACACTCTTATAAATGACTCAGCAAATGTTTGGATGCACCTGGGAGGTAAAATGAAAATAGTGGCTTCTTAGAACTTCATCCACTTCTATCCCATCCCAATCTTTTTGATTGACAGGCAGTCAGAAATGGAAGAGAAAAGGCTTTGAATTTGTATGCCAAATGGTGAATATGTACTAATTTTGGCTTGTAAGGAAGGATTTAGTTAGAAAATGCTTTTAAGAGCACTTTTACACCCACATCCCAGTAAGATATGTGTGGGTCGACTGGGGCGTCCTGTGTGCAGGGTGTTTGGTTGAGTCTTGTAAGATGTTCAGCTGGGCATGTATTACATTCCTTCCCGTATGTTTTCTGTTGTTTTTTCCCCCTAAAAAAGGTTATTTGATCAGGTATCAGACAGAGAGAAAACCTGGCAGGACTACAGGGAAGTGGCCAGACTTGGAGTGTTTGTGTACTTAAAGAAGGAATCTTGCACATTTTCAATTTTTAGTTGTAGACATTTTCTTATAAGAGCAAGCAGCAGTCAGTGCCAGCCCTCAAAGCGGAAATCAAAGCTCCCAGGGAAACATACCAGAGGAATGTGACTCAGAGCCAAGACCCATACGCAATGCATACACTGAGCTGTCAGGCTTATAGGATGTCTGGCTCTGGCCCTATAAGGGCATCAGGACAGTGAGCCATTTGTCCTTAGGGTAGGTTGGGAATGGACTTCTTGTATTTTTGACATGCCTTAAGTTCAATCATGTAAATGAATACCACCAAAAATGGGACGGGGTGGGGGGTAGTATGCCAGAGTCTTTTTTGAAAAAAAAAAAACAGTCATAAATATTATTCTAAAATCTTCAGGGACCCCAGCTTGGTTTACATCACCATCTATTTGCTTAAATGAAGGATAAGGAGAGCACCCTCTCCCTGGGGGTTAGAAGTGGGAAGGAAGCACATATGTTTGCTGTGGAAATTGTATTCACTGCCTTCCTGCTCATGCCTCATGATGAATTCTCTAACTTTTTAAGGATATTTTCAGATGCAAAGGTATTTCTCAGAAGGCAGTCAAGGTTTGCTCTGTGTGATTTGTGTTATATTTGCCTGCTCATTTCCTTGCTTGTTCATGGAGTTAGGGGCTGGAAGAGCAAGGTGAAGACGATTTATGTGCTAATAAGACATTTCCTACCCTTTCCCATTTGTCTCACTTTGTTAGTTTAATTGGACAGTTAGCTGACTTAGGAGCCTGTGTTTCTTCTGTACTTTTGTTAACAGGAGGTGGTGCTAGAGAGCACCCAGCTCTGGGGTCTCAAGCTTTCTCTAAGGGTCATGAACTGAAATATGTTATAATTTAGCATTCAGGAGCATTTGCCACCATTTCCCAATCAAACTGAATGTCATATGAGATGTGATATTTAATGGGAATGGAAAAAGGAGATGTCCGTAAAATGTGTAATTTGGAGAGGCTATTCAGTAGATTTAGGAGGAGAGGGCTGAGTTTGGCTTATTTATCCCAAAGGATGGGGGTCAATGAAGGAGACCAACTTTGAAAGGACTCCTGAGAAGTCTGCTTGAATGCATCCCCCAGGATTTGGCTGGTGGGGAAGGCGGGGAAATGCTCCCACTCCAGCCTGAGGCTCCAGTCCC